AAAAAAAATTGTTTGTGGCAAGAAGCTCCAGGAGTCATTGGGTTAAAAACCAGGGAATGAAAAACATATTTCTATCAACACTTCTGTAGCTCATTTTGAAACAATTTTTTTATTGTGGTTGTGAGCCCCCATGCATATAGGCCCCTCCTTATATAAGCCTATCCGACCCCCCATATAAAGTTGTATAACCACTGGGCTTATAAGTATCAGTTTATGGTATGCATGTAATATATTTTTTTGAGATTTCTGTTAACATTTTAGAGAAATGACCTTGACCTCAAAATGTTGTTTTGTTTTTGCATAGAAAACAGTCGAACAACTGACCTTCCAAGTGCTGCTGAAACACAGGATAAGCTGAGGAAGACAGTCCTGCAGCTGGTTGATGATAACCTAAGTTTTGAGGGCATACTGAGAGAGGTGTGTTACTGACAATTCAGTGTCCTTGATTAAACAAAGCAGTCATTGATGCTGTAAAACATTCTAACTTGTGGCGTTTTTTCCTGGACTGACAAAGATTACCTTTTGTGGCCATGTGTTACCTGTATGTTCCTCATAAACATCTGTCAATAAACCAGCACGTTCCATACTAATCTTATACTGTTACCAAGATCTGCTTGTGCTTCTTAGTTGTTCCTAAGGAGCTGTTCATTATTTCTGCCTAAGGGGTAAGGGGTGTTCTTCATGAATCCTGGTATGTGTAAATAAACATATATGGATTTTTAACCAAGCATGAGGTCAAGATAGCTGGATAATGGCCAAGTTCTTTTTTGCATGTTTATGGACTTGTTCTTGATCGAACAAGCTTGGTCAATAGAGGATTTATTATATGGAAAACTATTTTCTTGTGGAACATAGCAAGAAATCTGGAGCAAGCAAGATAGTGTCATGTTGCCTGCTCAGGTAGCCAATCACAGTGAAGGATTTGGTTCAACTTGCCCGCTCAATGAGCAAGCCAGGCTTATAACAAGTTTGGTTCTGACTGATTTATAGAGTGAAGATTGTGTGCACTGTAAC